CTTTTGCTGTTATTAAAGTAAAAAGTTGACATAGCTTGATAGTTTTTTACCTCTTGACCACACAAGTTAACTTTAGACAGTTTGTGAGAAAATTGCTTCTGTGAAAAATGTTAACTAGTGATCATTGTGTAAGATTCTGATTATGGCAGTGTTTGACTGATTCACCAGAAGATGATTTTAGTCTGACTACTGAGTACTTAAATTGAACAATTAATTTTTTGCATTATTCTCTTTAGGTATTGAAATTTCTGATGAAGAGGCTGAAAAGGTTTTCACTGTAGAAGATGCCGTAGAGTTCATATCCAAGGCACTAGATATACATTAACACGAGCAAGGTACTCAGCCAAGCCCAGCACTCAGATGTAAATGGATTTCACTGTCTACTGAAACTGACTGCTTTTCCTGTGAATTGTCTGTTGTTTTGTTCATTGTTGTGTCTGAAGCAACTTAAAGTAAACCACTTTTTTAATAATAATTTCTATATTACAGTATTCTACCAAATGGAGAGGAGATCGGATGATTATGTGCTTTGTGAAATTACATTGAAGGCTTCCCACCTCTATTGCTTCTCATTTGTTTTAATTTGAGTTGTTTGGTGTTTTATAGGCTCTCAGTTTGATTGGTAAATCAAGTTTTATGTATGCTGCTCAGTAAATAAACTTGAGTCATTTCTTGTCATTTCATTGTCTATTAAATAGTGGTGGAGGGGTAAATGAAAATTATGAGGAGGGGAGGGTTCAATTTAAGTGGCTCTTTTTTTTGTTTTATTTTGACAAAGGCTCTGCTGATGTAATGAAGTATTTAAGCTATCATGTCAATATACATGGGAAGTTATTTCTAATGGATTTAAAAAAAAAAAATTCTGCAAGACAAGTCAAATGTGCTAATTACTGGGGGTAAACTGATCAACAGTTTTGTATGAATGTAACGCCATGAATGTATAATTGAGCAGGTACGGTTTTCCCTTAAAAATCTGCTGTGTTGTTCTAAGGGTTGATTTCAGTTGAGATTCCTGGTGTTTGAAACTAATGGAAGAATGTTCAGTAAATGAAGACTAACATACACCTAAAAGTGTACATCTATTTTGCCTTACCATGTTCTATGATTGGTCTATAAACTGAGTACCACACACAACTGAATTCTCTGTTTGAGAATTGTCTTGCACCACAATCATGACTGAACGAAAAGCCAAAACAAACTTCTTTTCACCATTGATATCACTTCTCTTTATACTGTCATTCTCAATGATGAAGGTCTCCGGACCCTCAAACATTTTTTCGATAAACGCACTGTTAAGGAACCTAGCTCTGAAACACTACTCTGTCAAGCCGAGCCAGTACTATCTCTCAGTCGCTTTTCATTCGGTGTCACCTACTACAAACAAATTAATGACGTAGCCATGGGTACTAAAATGAGACCCAGCTACGCCAATCTTTTTGTTGGGTTTATCGAACACCAATTCTCCATTCTTTACAACAGCCGCAAACCTGAACTCTGCGGTTGCTGCATTGACGACTGCATCGCTACTATCTCCTCTACCAGAGAAGAGCTCACTTAAATTATAACCGCCGTCAGTTCCTTTCACCCGGCTCTAAAATATACCTGGGAATTTCCGACATTTCTTTAGCTTTTCTAGACGTCAAGATTTCGCTTGAAGACAACGGTCTATGCTCTAATGTTTACTACAAACCTACAGATTCACACAGCTATTTGTTGTATTCATCTTCGCACCCATCACACGTTAAGAATTCCGTACCTTTCTCACAGTTTCTCAGACTTCGTCGTTAACGTAGTGACGACTCTGATTTTTCGGAAAAGTCCGCCAGAGGCAATGAGCCAGTTTTTCGATGAGCGTGGCTTCCCTATTTCTGTCGTTCAAGCGGGCCACTACCAACAAACTGATCGACAGTCAGCACCACAAACGCCCGAGAAGGAAAATACTGATTGCATTCCATTCACTCCCACATTTGACCCTCACAACCCCGCAGTTAAATCTATCATTCTTAAAAACTTTAAATTACTTCTAAACAATTCAATACTATCACTTCGCAACCTCCTCTAATTTCATTCAAAAGTAACAAAATATTGGTAACCTTTTGGTCAGAAGTTATTTCAAACCAATGACCAACCTAGAAATTTCAAATGCACTCGCTCCCAATGCAAAACTTGCCCTTTCATTCATAACGTAGAGAAAATGTCGGGACCCAAGAGATCCATTAACCCTGTAACTCCCATGAGTGACCAAGACAGAATTTCTCCTTACGATATTAATACAATATCGACCAGTCAAGTGATGAGAATAAAGAAAACTATCGATTTGGGGATAATTAGTTGATCCAATACAAAATTCTAGTAACTAGCATCATAAGAATTGTATGGTTCACAGTAAGGAGAAGTACAAATTTGGTCTGGGAGTTAAAGGATCAAGATCACTGATCACTTCACTTGCACCTCCGCCATTAGGGAACTACTTAAGATACCAGGACGGAAGCTAGAATGGCGACGGCAATAGAAGAGTAAGACTGGGATGAGTCCCGTCGTGCCCGCCAAAAACAAAATACCTAGGCGGGTAGTAGTAGGGACCTTAAGATCCGAGGACGGCGGATGTCTACGACGGCGGGCGGAAGTTTGAATGCGTGTTTACCTACTTTCGGTAGCTGTTCCCCGTAAATTCCAGCCGTAGCTGTGTTGTCTGCGACGTCAAAACAACTATTTTGCCGTTTCGTACAAAACGTGAGTTGATTACAGAGTTTTTATAAAATATCTTTTAAAATTTTCGAATATTTTGCGCATTATGGAGTCAAAAATATTTTTAATTCGTTTGCCTACTCTTCTGTGACCTAATTTTCGAGAAAAAACATGTTTTTTTCCTTTTCCACTAAACAGGTCATGGTTGCAGCCGACACGAGTGCCAAGAAGATTGCTCAGTAAGTTCTCTTATTCTCTTTTCTTCACGTTATTAGCAATGAATGTGGTGAAACTCAACACAAATTACGCTTCCCCGCTTATAATTGATAACCTCTCTGAAAGTGAAAGTGCCTTGCATATTTGGTGAACAGAAAAGGGTTTTTTCTGCAGTAAAAAAAAAAAAAAGACAAACAACATGCAACACAAACAAAAAGAAAATAAGCGTTAACATTTGACTTTTATCTTTAGAACCAACATGGAGTGGACTGAACAACATGACAATATTCTTTGTCAGGAGATTCTCGTTCTTGAACCATTCAAGGCAAAGAAAGGAAGCATTGCAAGGGGCCAAATTTGGGATAAAATAGCGAACAATCTGAACAGCCTTCAACATCCCCAACTCAGAGTGACGAAGCGATCTGTTAGAGAACGATGAACTCCTTTGAGCGACAAATTTAGAACAAAGATGCGAGATGAAGAAAAGGCAAGTGGAATAGATACAGATTTGAGTGACGTTGAAAAAGCACTTGAGGAGATAGTAGAAAAAGAAGCTGTGGTTGAAGAAACAGCGCAAAATGACAAAAAGAAAGTCGATAGTGCCAAAGCAGCGGAAATGAGATACAGAGCTCTAGAGAACCTTGGCGGGACACAGAAAAGACAAAGAAAAGATGAGTTAGAGAATGAAACAGCAGCAAGAGCAAAACGTCGAAGAAGTGGCAGTGACATGGTGGCATATTTGCGAGAAAAGAACGATCTCATGTAGAAATGGAAAATGGAAGAAATGCAGCTATAGAAGCAGCGATTAGAGGCTGAAAGTAAGAAGGAGGAGCAGTCCAAAGAGCAACAGGATTTGATGCAGGTCATGCAGCAGCAAACTAAACAGCAACAAGAACAAATGCAAAAATTTCAGAAGATGTTCACGCTAATGCAGCAGCAGCAGTCTCAAATTATCATAAAACCTCTAGTAATCTAATAATTTACAATTAGTAAATTACAAGTGTAATTTCTGCACCTCTGTAAGGTACCTGGAGGTAAACACGCAGAGGATAGGCCGGGTCGCCATGGAGAGCCATTGGTTCTCTTGTTGTTGAGAAAGCATGTTGCTCGAGTTCATCAAGAAGACCAGAATCGGCCAACATGGCTGAATTATGCCTTCTGCCCTCAAAACTTTGCAGAAGAATGCTACGCATCTCTCTAAAGGAAGCCATGACTGAAGTAATTTATGATAAAAATCGAAAATATATAAACAATGCCGCCCCCGCCTTCAACTTGGTCTCTTAAGGATTTTTCACGCCTTGCGACGGCAACCTCTTCCCAGTCCCCCCTCGTCGTAGACATCCGCCGTCCTCGGATCTTAAGTTCCCTATTGTCATCTACTGCATAACTTGTACTTATTGCAGAAACTCATACATTGGTGAAACACGAAGACGACTTGGTGACCGATTCCGAGAACACCCTCGCGACGTAGAAAGATGGACGCATCCAAACCAGTCGCTAGACCCCTTTATCTCCCTAATCATTCTAAGCAGCATATGGCTTTTTGCTGCCTTTCTCTGCATCAGACAGTTCGGGAAAGCCGCAAAGCTCTAGAAGAAAAACTTATCTTTCAAATCGGTACTCTTAGTCCCCACGTTATCAACGAGAGCTTTTCATTCAACTAGTTTATTTTGTAACGGCTAAGAATATATGAAAGTCATATATTTGAACTGCGGATAAAGACGTGAATGAAAGTGATCCTCGCAGTAATGTGCACTACTTGAGCAGTAGTGAAAATAAGAAAATGTACGGGACTTGAATATTCACGTCTTTTCACTACTGTTCAAGTAGTGCATATTACTGCGAGGATCACTTTCATTCACGTCTTTATCCGCAGTTCAAATATATGACTTTCATATATTCTTAGCCGTTTATTCGTCACTTCACGGGTTTATTTGGAACCAATATAATGACGAGCTTCAAGGTGGCTTGTTAGCTCAGTTGGTAGAGCGCTGTACCGGTATCGCAGAGGTCATGGGTTCAAGTCCTACACGGGCCTCAATTTTTTTCAGGCCTTATTTTCACTACTGCTCAAGTAGTGCAAATTACTGCGAGGATCACTTTCATTCACGTAGTTTATTTTTGTTTTATTTTTGGAATGTCACCACATTCCATGAACAGCATAGCTCGATTTTCTGCATATAGACCCACTCACAACTCACAATTCCTCCAATCGCTCTAACGAAGGACTAACGCTCGAAACGTCAGCTTTTAAGCTCTTCACGATGGCCGATTATGCTATCAACTCAGTTGATAATACTAAATTACCCTGTTTTACTCTCCCACCGACGCAGCACCACAGTTTCTTTACAAACTTACCCTATTTAATCAAATGAGAGTTCAGTTGCATTGTTTAAACAGTCCAAGAGCTGAACATTCTCCACTTCTAAACTACTGCTTGAGCAATTCAAAGTCACTTAATTCATGCTTGTCCTTCTGATAACGAAAATCCCTTAAGACTTTAGGACGACGTCGCAAAACTTACTACAAAGCCAATAAACACGTCAGAAATTTGCGAATGGTAATCTGAGTTGTGCACTTAGATTTAGGTAGCCACTGGGGTGTATTCCTGAACCTTCCAAGTCTGTAACCTCCTAATATAACACAAAAGGGCCACGAAATCATAGTTTTCACCTCCATTTAACAGAGTGCGGTATGGAATAGAATTTTTAACCTTACTTCTATATAGCATCATTACAATGTCATTGCGACATAACATAATTTAGATTTAAAAAATGCCGGAAATCAAAATAACTTTGTTCGTTGACAGTTTTCCTTCAAAAAAATCACTGCACTTGAAACAAATTTCAAAGAGAAGTATGGTTCACTCGAGAGTAAACGACATCCAACATCATCGCATTTGGGAAGCCACTTTGTCCATTGCTTCAAACAGAATATCTGCGTGACGTTGTGAAAAAGTCAATGTTGGTCTGAAGCGGATGCTTACTTCCCCACTCCCACCTCCCATCTCCACACCTGACGGAAAGGAAAAACGAAACAATAGTTAAATTCTGATTGCAGTTTCTCTGTGAATAAAGACAATCAAATACAAAGAAATCTGAAACTTTCCTACTTAACAAAAATTTTAACAGTCTTAACTATCAGGACAACAGCCTCAGAAACTCAATAATTTTAAAGTGCCCAAGCTCCAGGACAGGTTGGATCTGGTGCAGCACACTTCTAACGAATTTCGTTCAAATGTAAATTAAATTGATCATTTCCAAGTTCAAACCAAATATGCTAATCTACCCGCTGTCCAAATGTAAAGCTATCTCGAGGAAGCGTCCGCGTCTATGTGGATAACGTAAGTTTATCTTTACTTGCGAGAAATTCCCTTTGATTGAAGATGATAATGGGACATAATATCACTAGAAACTCCATCAACAAAGGTACACAGCTGTAGGTCATGAGAAATTTCAACAATCCACGTCCAATTTCAACAATCCACGTCCAATTTCAACAATCCACGTCCAATTTTACCCTTGTATCGAACTTTCAATTAATTTTTTTATTTTTGAGAGTATTTCGTCACGAATGTGTCAGCAGGATTTCTTAGTAGAGGGGTCCTAATATAACGTTTTTGTCAAATTTAGTGGGTTACCAGGTAGCTTTCTTCGAAAAAGTGGGAGTGAGGGAGGGCGGGAAAGTCAAACGCACCCATAGAACCCTTTTCAAGCCGCCCCCTTCCGTGACTTGGATACAAACCATTGGCTTTCATCTTTGAAAGAAATTCTGCTCTAGTATCTGCATCGGCGCAATCGATTGCACAGAATGTTCCTACACCACGGGCACGAGAAAACAATCCCGGATATTTTTCCTAGAGTATAAAAAAATATTGTGTGAACAACCTCATTACTACTCATTAAAATTCACCTGTAAGTAGTTACAAAAGGATATTAAATAAACATGTTAAGAAAATCTTAGAAAAACATCAGACTAGAGTTCTCCCCTAAGTGATAAAAAAAAGTTTGCTACCGCACATCGCCTCTCACTCCTCACTTTAATCACTATCAATCACGGAATAGATGGCGAGTAGCGAAACCAATGAGATTACAGCATTTGTGATAGAATGCTAGTAGATTTATAGTATTGACTGTTTTATGATAAGCTGGATTATACACGCATTTTCATTGGTTTTTTACTCATGATCTACTGAAGAACAGACAAATAGTTGACGTCGTCATTAACAACATTTCGCCTTTTTATCAAATAAAACAAGTAGATTCCATGTTGCCTTAGGTCTGTACATTCACATAAGACGTCAAAATCAGGTAAGAACAGCAATATCACCTTTTTGTTCTACCACCTTTTGACGTCATCTGTGATCTACGGTAGAACCCCGCAAACTCGAACAAGATCCGGTTTCCTTGGATTTGATCCCAATTCCTCAGTCATTTACGATCAGCTGACACGAACTCGGTTAACTTTACCCTGAGAATTCGGCGGTCGATAAACGTCAAAGATAGCTAATTGACACGTCTCAATCTTTAATCACACGAACGTGAGAACATGTGTGGGAAACGTAACACATTTGGCTAACCTTCCCAAACTAAACGTTCTTATCAAAAAGCTGTTATAAACAAATTAAATGTACGAAAAGGACTAACAATTGCGCAGGAATGGTAAAACTTGAACATGATTCCTTATTAATTATCAAAGGGATAATTGAAATTCAACCGGCAATCTCAGTCGAAAACTCAAATACCGCACTAACTCAAATCAATTTTTCGTTTCCCCGGTGAGAGTTCGAGTTAGCGGAGTTCTACTGAATTTTTGAACATACGCACGCCAATATGGACTCTATTAGTAAGTTAGCATGAATCCACTGGCTGTTCTATCACAGGAGCAAAAATCTGATTGGCTACGCTACTCGCTATCCATTGGGCGACAGATAATAAAAGGAAATAGGCGGAAGTGGGCTCTGCCCTTATTTACTATCACGTGATAAAAATCGACCTCACAATCTTATCCTTGTGTATCACAAAAATTTGGAAAAACTATTTCCTCAAAGTAAATGATTTATAACAGCTTGTTTTATAACCCGCGCTCATATTCACCTCCGAGCAACGCTTGCGGGACTTGCGCCCGATAATATTTTAACAGTTGCAGGAATCAATGAGTTAAAATCGTCTTTTTTCGCAGAATTATCTCACTGTTTTAGTGTATACTAAAAACTATTCACCGGTGTCGGTGCAAGAAAATTAACGAAACTCTGAAGGGAGAATTACTACTTAGAATTTCGGAGTTAAAGGGTTAAAAATTTAAAACCAAGGGACGAAGTGCAATTGAACAATGAACTAAACCTTGAATACTTTTTTGTGTAAGATTCAAAACAATAGCATATTTACTCCTCTCTTACTTTGTCCAAAACGAACACTAGTCTATATAGTACTGACACTGTACGAACCACAGCACATCACCTAACACACAATGACTACATCACAACACACCACATCACATTAAAGATGTGATCACCTGCATGTGTTCCAAGCCATTCAACAAAACCCTGCCACTTTCTTGTACTCTTTGAAGTAAGCTTTCCTCTCGCACCACTTTAACAACTTCTTTTAAAAGAACAAGTTTGCTTTGATCCCCCATCCACGTGTTAAAGATACGTAGTGGCTACGAAACAAATAATAGAAACTGTCGGATTATGAAACAATTACCAAAAAACAAATGAAGTAGTTTTGAAGTTGCTAATTTTTTGGTGAGCTCAGCGCAAGCGCCGACTAGTATCTGACCACTTTCCACACTGAACGGTAACTACCACCACAGACACAGCACATGGGAGTGTTGCTTATATATTGCTTCCTGCTGATTTAATGTCTAATAGTCTTGGTGGATACCAGACATGGCGCTTTGCATGTTGTGAGTAGCGGTCGTCTCGTTCCCAGTCCCAGTCCTAACAGAGCACTCTTAGAGAATAAGCGGACCGATATTTCTAAAAAACGAACCGAGAGTTTCCTTTAAATTTCATCAGGACAACGTCCACCACAAAAGCGGGATACAGGTAGGAAGCGACTGATATAATCGGACTGATATGTTTACAACGGAATGATATGACTTGCGAGCTCTGATTTATGGAAGGGTAACCACCAATCCTGCTTTGGCATTGGGTACAACTTACTTCACCAACATCAGTGCACAGACTGCGACTGAGACAAATGAGCAAAAATGTACGTATGGTTACAGCTGGAGTAAATCATTCTAAATGAGAGAACAAATTTCGCACAGAATACAACATTGCAGCTCATACTAATCATATTCAATATTTGTGATAAAAATATTTGCAAAATAAAACTGCAACACGTTTCTTTATTGGAAAGAAACTAACCTGCTGAACTCGTATTTCTGGCCTATGGTAGAACCCACCGATTAGCATCTTTTTTGAGAAGGTCACTATGTCAGGAGGTTCAATAAGACCCCAGTGTTCGTGTGCCCTGCCGGGTCAATAAAAAGATATCGTATATAAATTTTTGGCTTTCATTATGTTCTTAGCATGTGCAAAAATCGTAAAAAAGGCGGCTCCTGCGTGTCAGATGTCATTTTCCTTAATTCTTTCTTAAAGAAGACTTCAAGTCAAACTGAGAAAAAATATTGAGCAGTTACTAAAATTTCAGTAAGGAAAATGTATTATGTATACCTGTAAACAAAATGATTAAGAGAATTTCGTGTAAAGGCAACAAAATTTACGAACTAAAAGACCTATACAGATAAGAATCAAGGGGCATAACTGAGACATCTGACTCGCTAAAACGTAGACAACAACACGTATACAACACGGGACGCTGCACGCTCTGCAGTGATTTAACATTTAATGATCGAGGTCACCACAGTTTTTCACATGCAGGGTTAACGAGGCTGATATGGCAACTCCAAAAACATGGATCCTCTTGATCAAGAAAGAAAGCCGCGACTCAACGGCACGGCAGTGGACCGATGAGGGAATTCATCATCGAAATGCGCCAATGACAGCTTTTGAAAACCAACCAATCACAGCAAAGCATAATGCAACATAGGGCAACCACTAGCCCTCACCGTCTGAAGAAAACTAGCACTCTGCAGTTCACACGTTGCAATTCTCATCGCGACAAAAACTGGTTTGAAATTTTTGGGCGAGTTTCGTTTCCATGATAAAAAAAAATTGCAGAGTATAACAATCAGAACCCGTCATTTGCGCATATATTTTGAGGAAGAAGGAAACATTAGGAATGCGTCATTATTACGTCTAAGTGGAACTACTCACTACCTCCGCTACATTATGTGATTGCTGACTGTGTGGGAAGGAAAATGTTTCACTCGAGGTCATGTCGTACGCACCAAGCGCAGCAAGGTCCTTACGACAAACCGAGAGCCAAATATAACAACAGGGAATTTAGCCCTTGGTCATAATGGTACCCAGCGTGGCGATCTCAAACTAATAATTTTCAAAGACGCGTTCGAGCTCGGTAAATAGAGGTTAATATTCATACTTACCAGAATTTACCGGTACTTCCACATCCTGTCTGTACTTCATCAACGATAAACAGAGCATCAAACTGCCAGAAAAGAGTTAAGATCATAATAATAACAATAATAGTAATAACAATCTTTCTATGTTAGTTTGCTTTCGCGTGAACTGGTGTGCTGTTAACGACATAAAAACAAATCAAAAAAATAAAAGAACGTTACACTCAATAAATTTAACTGAACGTTAACGTGAGGAAACAACCAGCATACTTAGTCACTTTTGTTGTGTATGTGAAAAAGTTTGCGTGCATATGTAAGTATAGATGTACAGCCACTCATGACGACCCAATTTCATGGATAGATGGGATTCTCTAGTAACCAGGATCACTGGATTCTCACCTCTTTAGCGATCCTCTGAAGAGATTTAAAGAAGTCAGCACTTGCATGGTTATCTCCTGAAAGAAAATCTAATATTTCAAGAAATATAATAATATAAATAGGAGCAAAAAATATTCGGTGTGTAGCCAGGCATATTAAAAATTTTGGTAAAAAGAATTAAATCAAAGTGCTCTGTGAGCAAACTCGTGAATTGACACACGATTCTTTGGATTATGTTTAATGTTATCTGGTTTAGGGAATATTATGGTTGATTGTCATATCTAGAGTACGAGCAGTAGTTCAGTGTTCGCTAATGTAGCAAAGAAACAAAGTAACCTTGGGATAAGAAGGCATTACAATTGAAATGATCATGCTATTGCATTTGACAAGGGTGGATGATGTCATGTGTTTCAAACGTATATCATTTCTGTTTCTGGTTCAAAAGAAAAGGTTGGAAGTAAATGTGGGTGAAAAGTGAAATTTACTGTCTATCATTGTAAATATTAGAAAAGCAAGGCAATACTGTCTTAATGAAAACATTAACGATTCCCTCTTTATCAAATGAGACAAACGGGAACGAGTTTTGAGTGATATAACTAAGCCAAGATTGCCACCGTCATTTTGGATCTCCGCCTGGGTAGATTTTAGTCACGTGCTGGGTAACGTATAATCAATAACAAGATAGAATTTCATTTCAGGCCTATTTATCAATTTTGTGGTGTGTAACTTTCGCATTTTAGTACGTAATGTGTATTTTGAATCTTCAAATTGTCTTGAAACGTAAAAGAAAATTGTTCTTTAAAAATTCACTGAAAATCGGTAGCTAAAATTGTTTGTTTAGGTGTTATTTGATTTTCGTGTTAACTTGTAATTTCGTTAGTCGCCGGCATGTTCTGTTGCTTCACACGGAAAAAACACACGATACGAAACGTAATGATCGATTTTGTCCTCGATCTCACGCCGTAACAGAAAAAGCTTTTGAACATCTGTAAACTCCGAGCGCTTCGCAGTAAGTGAAATTTTCAATGAATCTTGGGATTGTTCTCAAGTTTAAGGATTGTAAATTACAATTTTATGAAAAACGAAGGTTGTTCCGTTATTTCAGTGTGAATCCTTGCATGCCTGCCAGTCACTGGCGCCGCTTGTTGAAACTAAAACGAAAAAAAAAACTCTTTTAAGATTATCATTGGCTTCTTTGTCACCCCACCACTATTCTTAGCAACAAAGGTCGCCATTTCGTTTGTTTATTGCTCGCCACTATCAAATGCACTCAGAAGCCTAAAATCGAAAAAAAGTTTACAGGAATCGAACAATTGAGCGAGCGAGCAAGTGTCATTCCCCACATCGTATCTAGAACTCGCTGTTGCGCATGCGCGCAATTCACGAGTTAAAAAAGGTGACACTGGCCGAAAAATATATTGTTCTAGACGTTTCGTTTAGCCAGTGTCAACTTTTTTTTTTCTTTTTACCAAAAATTTTAAATAGAAGCAAATTTGATTCCCTGTTGTTTACACTCTTACCGCCTTCAGCTTGAATGGGTTCGACGATTATTCCTGCAACTGGTTTGCCTGCATTATTACTATCAAAGATAGCTTGACGAGCCTATTGTAGAGAAACAAGAATAATAAATAAGCAGTTTAAGACTGCATGCAGCTACTGATATTCCTTTAAGTTTCACGATGCGCCTATCACATCAGTTAAGACATTTCAGCAAGGAAAAGTACTGTTTTTTATCATAGGCAATCCTTAAATGATCGTGAGGTGTTTATCGTCTTCTGCTGTCTTCTATAGTGTCAGCAATAAGCCTGATATCACAAAAGGGGAGAACTCAAATGTGTATCGAGTTAGAATGTCAAACTAATAAGATAATCCAAATAAGATACTCCAATTGGGTCGAGATCGGAGGTCTATTGTTATATACCGTCACCTACTCGTTCTCTCATTCCTATAACCTAATGGCTACTGTCTCCCATTATAGACTGAGGCAGTAGCCACAACAAGGATGATAACATAATATGTTATTGGACATAACCCACAAATCACAAAAGGTGAGAACTCAAATGTGTCTCGAGTGCGCATATCGAACTACTAAGATGGTCCGAAACAAACAGTAAGTAGCACTGGGAAACATCGGGTCAACATAAAGTCAAAATCGGAATTCTAAAGTTACCATCGCTCACTCTCTCACTCACTCACTCATCTCGAAGATTTACGAGTCTCTTATAGGTGGGAGAAACCACAAAAACAGAACCACAAGACGTTGTAAGAATTGCAATAGCACCATCATCAGACTTCAAACTATGCCAAATTACATTACCATTTCCAAACATTTTTCCTCTTCTGCTTTGTTTTCTCTTTCATAGTTTGCAAGTGGATATTTCAGGACAGGAAATGGCGCCTTCGGCCAATCAAATGTAGGAATGTCTACTCTTGCCATTGCTTTTGATCGAGTGGTAGAAAGAGCACCTGAGCAACAAAGAACAAATTCATTGCATTGTGACACTTTCACTGTGCGCACTGATTAATGTCTGTTTTTCTACCCCGGAGTTAGACTATTGTTCTCATTGGTTCGTTGGTTCTGTCTAGCCTATGAAGGAGAGATGAAGGGGGGGGGGGGAAGGGTGAGGAATGTTACCTTTCATTAAATTCAATATCCTATTTTTCCAAATACAGAACTCATTTGAGGTGCAGTCTTAACTATCCCAGCTATATAACGGTGTCACCAATCGGCTGTCTCGCGCGAGGGAAGCCCTCTAGAGGGAACCAACGAGTTGCTACTGAGAGAACGCTGGACATAATTTCCACTGTTATTAATCAATCAGATTAATTTATCCTAAAATTAAAACCGCGATGTCCAAAGCACCAATCTGTTCACCATTCAAACGCTCCTGGCCAGCCATCATTCCAATGACACGAAGTACTCAGTTGATACTCACAATTTGGTATAATGACCTTCCGCAACAAGGTTGAGGTCAAAAAGTTAAAAGTCTACATCAACATAGAAAAGAAACTTGCAATAAACGAAGCAGACGTTTAGAGACGTCTTTCTTAACATTTGAGAATTTGATTGCATTGCTACAATAATAAGTAAAATGTTCTCATTTAAATGTCTGGTAAAGAACGTCTTTTTGGTGTTTTTGCAGATCAATGCGTATTCCACAACAGTCTTGAATGTGTCCTAGTATTTAAAACAATTTAACTTACCCAGAGTTCGACCATGGAATCCTCTCTCAAAACCAAGAATTGTTAACGGTGGTGTGCCAGGAGCCTAACAGAGTACAGGAAATTCCCTTTTGTTAAACTATGTAAAAACGAACAAATGTTCTAGGCATCAAAAATCACTTGTTCCAACTACAAGAGTTTCTGACCTGATGTTTCGAGCGTTCGCCCTTCGTTTTTCGCTCAGACGAAGGACTAATGCTCGAAACGTCAGCTTAGAAACCCTTTACGGTGGCCAATTTATATTATCAAGTCAGTTGATTAAACCAAAGAAACGTCTACAGCTGATGATATTTTCCTTGGACACCTTTGCAACTAAAGATCTAGCAGGAAATCCTTATAGCTCAACCCTCGAGACAGAATAAATTTGTCTATTGTGCCAAACCCGCAGGTACTTAAACACCCTTCGACACTGTCTATCAGCGATTTGACCCAAGTCGCTGGTCCACAACTATTTTTCTTTGCATGCCACTTTCGTTTTTATATTTGGTCTCCACTAGTAAATGTCGTCGCGCAGTAATCGGCCTGTGGATAGCGTTGTGGAGCTATTTCAGCTCGAGATGGTTTCAGAAATACCCTTTAAGTACAGTAGTCTTACGAGATAAGCGTTCGACGGAGTTCACACTCATTTCAGTTGTTTTAGTAGTTTACTGTTTGGTCTGATGAGGTCATCGTTACTTTTTTTCTTGGGGAAGACATAGCCGGCCAAGGTATTCCTCTAAGGGATAAACTGTCTGGTTTGTTGCAAACTAGTCTTGGCTTTGAGTAATGTCAAGTTGTAGACGATTCGTTTAGTTATCTGTCAATATGCGACCGTTTCCTAGAAACTATTTTTCGTGGTGAGCTTTCGTCACAGCTTATCGAGCAGTCCAAAAGACAGAGACTTCTTTCCTCTTCAACTTCGTTGGTCAACTGTGTGTCGGCATTCTATTTGTTGAGGTGGTCATAGAAAGCGTTTATTTCGTCTTTATGCGCGGCAGTAAAAGCATCATCAGAGTTAAGTAACCAGAGTGATATTGTTTGTGGGCAAGTCGTAATTTTTGCAAAATCACAATTGCCATAAAGGAAACCAATTCATGACTTTTCTAACTCCATTGATCAGTCTTCGCGATGAACTTTTGCTCTTTGAATTAAATCATTTTCCTTGTAAAGTAAAACTTTGTCAAACCAAGAATGAACTGACAAAAGATGGAAGAAATTCCCGTAGCAGTTCTGAACAAGCGAGTGAGTCAATCCTTTCGCTCGAACCGAAGATCGCGAGGGCCATGAAATTTTTGTCCATTCATTATCAAGTAGCATAAATTTATGGACCGATCTATTCAATGGAAGTGTATTTCAGGAAGGCGATGTTTTGATCAACATAAAAACAGCAATAACAGATGCATTGCCACTATATTGTCGAGACAGAAAAGAGACCAAGGGACTGAGACCTTTGAAAGACAGTGATGATGAGTAAGTATGGTTTTAATAACATTGCAATGCTGAAATTTTTAAAACAAAATGTTAATTGAACTTAAAACACATTTCACTGCCTAGAGTTACTCTATACATAGTCACAAGATCCTGGCGTTGTGGCAGAAACATGAAAATATCCCATGATCACGGGCCTAAAAAATCGAACTACGAAGTCAGAAAAATAAGTGTTGTTGTAGCGTTGCCAGCGAAGAATTTGTTCCTCGGGCTCGGCATCATCAAGTTAATCCAAGTTTTTCAAATTTGAAAACGATATCGTTAGTAACGCATTTGAAACTAGCTTTATATGTAGAATAATGCTGGACTGCCGGTGTTTAAATCTTCAAAGTTTTAAATAATTAAAATAACTCAAAGAGTTACACCACCTGAGATCTCATGCAGCTTGTTAGGTCCTCCAAGGAGGGTTCAGGATTACCACGCTGTTTAGCCTAAAATGAGCGAATAAAAATCTTGGGATCATGAGCGTTTCCTCGAATGTATCTTCTACAAAAAGATGATAAAAAACACACAGACACACGCACTCACTGTACAAATAAGAGGCTGATAACTTGCCGAGTTTGATTCAAGGTAACCTCAAATTATGAATTCGCAGATGTGAAAGAAAGCAGACTGGAGTGCTGAATCAGATTATAATGACAAATGACTCAAAACTGATAATCTAAGCTCAAGAAACCATGTCATTTTCATCTCTGATTGTGATTCCAAAACGTTACATAATCTTCGGAAAACTGTCTTAAATGTACTTAAAACTAAACTACAGACAGCTCGGAACGTAAACTGAGGGACACTTTTGTAAAGGGAAGCACACCGCGAAGTTAAAAAATAACCGCTGCTTGAGTTATAACAAAAACGAATTACTTGAGTCAGTATCGTCTCTGGGTAATTCCCAACAGTTCAAAGTGACCGCTAAGAGAAGCAAAAAAAATGTAGTGAGACTCTATTACATCCCAGATAAGCAACCAGGTTTCTAGTAAGATTGAAAAAAGGTATCATTGTCGAATTCTTAGCACATTCGAAGACAGTTGCGACAGGTTAGGTTCTCTCTGGAGTCTCGAACCACGGTGAGCAGCACACTGATTTTTACGCTTACCTTTTAAAGATAGATATACGAACAATTTGATCTTAGAATAGATGAACAAGGTGAAAGTGGAAATTCAAAGTTACAATTTAAATTAAAAAGATTGAAAGGGTTGATAGAGGATTGTTACTAACCTTATAATGCATAAAAGCCAATTTAAAGGCATTCTCTACTGAGCACGTTCCACAAGCCATTGTAGTTACCTCAGGAAGTCCAGGTGGGGCTACCTGTAAAATAAATTACGAATGGATCAAATCCAAATAATCATGTCATAAAAGTTAAAGAAATCAGTGAAATTTGTTTAAAAATCATTTTAATTCTGCTTTTCTTCTAAATATGAACGCGAGTGCATTTCGTGATTTATGGGCACGAGTGATGTTTTGAAAGTTCTCAAAATTGCACGAGCCGTAGGCGAGTGCAATTTGAGAACTTTCAAAACATCACGAGTGACCATAAATCACGAAATGCACGAGCAGGTTCATACGATTTTTTATTTATTAAATTCTCGACAAAATTACTCCAACATTTTATCGAGTTGTTCGTGCTCGTATTCCTCCATTTTTGGGTTTACTTTTCGTTGAGTCGCCCATGTTTGCCAGACATTTAACCAGGTCTGTGTAGCTTTCAACGTGTTTTTGTTTTTCGCATTTTCTTTAAGTTGCTCAACGATGTTTTGGTTTGACAAAGCAAACCGGCTGTCAGCCATTTTTTTATAATTTGGTGTTCAAATTTGGCGCTTCCCCGGTGTTTCCATGGCAACTTCTCCGTATTGCACTCTATAACCTCTATTGCACTCTATAACCTACTTATGCATTCATCATTGACCAATCAGAAACGCAATATTTTGTTGAGTATATAATAAATTCGTGTATTCAAACTAATTTGCACGAGCTTGCTTCATATTCCAATTGTGCTCGCTTATGACATCAGCAAAGAAATGCTTAGTGAAAAAAAAGAAAAAAAACACTGGCACAGCACGTCGTAATACAGCCGCGAATTTTTGTCAAATGGTTTTCCGTTCCATTCTGATTGAGATTGTATTGAGACAGACTTTGAGGAGCTCGAAATTAAAAGTACACATGCTAAAGGACACTGGATTTGGAGAAAGATAGATGGAATGAGCTTTCAAGTAAACAATACTTCGATTCCATTCTTTTGACTGTTAAAAATTACTTTTAAGTGTCCATATATCCTAGACGCATTGTTCAACAGAAATCTTGTTTTAAATCTGACAACTTCAATAATTGAATTGTCATAACATCAGTATTTGTCAGGCGACGAGGTTGAATAGTTACTCAAAACTAGCTGTTTCTTTCTCAAACTTACACTTAGCAGTGCATCTTTTAAATCTTGAAGAAAGGAGACAGGTGGATAGAGACCCAAGGCTGCTCGGTTGACAAAGGATGACTGTTATAAAGAAAAGATGAGTTTAACAGTAGGTTCTTGTATAACAGACAAACGTAAAGCCAAAAACAACACTTAATGGCATAACCACTGAGAATGGCACCTCTATCTACACCAGAACGAGGACCGACACCTACAGATCACCTACAGTGTGTACTAAGGACTGTTGAAATTAATTTGATACAATTTTGTTTTGATGTCTGCCTCTGTAGTCCATTCAAAAGCAATCAGGTCCCTAATTGCCATCTACCACCTTGACACCAACCTATTGCACTAACCACATAGATTTAGCCACCCTAACTGTGTGGATACCTCCTGTCCCTCTGTGGCATTATGGAACAATCTACATCTGTTCAAATATCTATACTGATATTAAAAGTAATAACTACTCACTAAAGTGGAGGTGGCTATGGTGGTGGATTATTTACTAAGCTATAACTTTGTCTGAATTGTAAACTCTAGTGACTACACAGCCTACAATGCATGTATTTAAAAGCAAAAACTAGCCACCTGCCATTCCAAATGTGATCTATTTCATTGTTTGATGTTTTATTTACTAAGAAACTGGAGCAGGATAGGAGAACACATGTGAAGGTCATCAAAACCCCTCCTCTGCATCATACACTCTCCAACATGTTCAGTTTTGTGATTATTAGCTGATGGCATTGAGCTCATCTTTCTCAGAAAAAAAAAACAGTCTTCCCATTTTGCAAGACACAGCAAAGGTAACTTCTGCCTAATTTTCAGCCAACAGATGACTATAATCCCCTACAGCCCTGTTCCCCAGGACTATTATGACACCCTTCCATTCCTTCTGACCCAGTGAGCACCTCTGACCTTCGTGCTTGTTATCCTATTACACAGTGCTTTGATATATATGTGGCATATCTTTGGTTTTGTTTGTATTGTTTATATGGGAACACTATCCTGACAAAAAGGGGCAAATCAATATTTAATTTAGTTAACAGGGATGAAGGAATTGTGTTACAACTGACCTCATCTTGTTGTGTATCTCTTTCTCAACTGGATCATGTGTCTCAAGACATAATCATTAGTTATCCCCACCCATTATAATATTGGCATTATATACATGCCAATAGTGATAACAAAATCTCATCTTCACAAATTACATCACTGCTGTTAGAAAACACATTATAGCATATATCTAATAAACTTGACACAAATTTTCTGCAAAATCACAGATCTAAATCAATGCTGACTATCAAGTCTTGCTGACTGTAGATTATTGCATTGCACCACCACCTATGATAAAACATTATTTATCACAATTGTCACTTAAGAGTTTACTTTGAATATATTTCAATTAGTCATTCATCTTACCACATTCTTTGGATCTTGTAAAGCTTTAACCAAAGCAGGGTGATTATAACCTATGTTAAAGGAAGATGATTAAGATTAAGAGTAAGGCACAAAGATTGAGCAAGCACATCAAGCAAGTCATTTATGTTTTTCCTGACTAGCCCAGACAGACACTCCAGATGGAATTACAGTCAAGTCGCCGACAATTCAACTCGCTTATGTATAAAATTGATTAGAGACATTGGTGAGTTGGTCTTCAATCCAGTACAACTTATCAGAAGTTTAACACATAGAAAAGTAAAAGGTCTTTAGGAAAAAAGCAATTTTTTTCTTCCAACAAAGTTTATAAGGATCTCATGATGAATAAAGCCAGGTAAACATCACCAGTGACTTAGAAAGCTTCAGACATGAACGAGATATTATTGAGCGTGACAACAACACTGTAAAACTCAAATCACTGTAAATCTCTCATTATGTCAATCGGTCAGATTTTTTTTTAAAGAAACTTGGCTTTCTGGACAAGATATTCATTTAAAAAAAACCAATTATTTTTATTTCCAACAAAGTTTATAGGGATCTCAAGGCAAATAAAGCAAGGTGAACATTGCCAATGACCAAAAAAGTTTTGGACGCGAACGAGTTATAACTCGTTGGCGTCTGAAGCTTTCTTAGTCATTGGCGATATTTACCTCGCTTTATTTGCCATGAGATCCTTATAAACTTTGCTAGAATAAAAAAATTGATTTCTCCTAAAGATCTTTTACTTTTCTATATGTTTAACCTCTGATAAGTTCAATACTTGATTGAAGACCAACTCGCCGACCATCAAGATTGATAGCTGAGCATGCTTAAACTTAAATCTGTCACCATTTTGCAATCTTTCCACATTGTATTCTCTTCTGCTGTCCTCTTATTAAGCAGTACAAGGCCAATGGATGTTATGGGTATAGTTGCCAGAAACCCTAGATTCCATTCCATACAAACTGCATTGTTTTATACTGTTCAATACACCTTTTTATATAACACTTGTGCTAATGTATCAAGCCATAATGTTTGTTCACATCCAGATCTTGCAGTTCAGAAACCCTATGGAACCTCCTTAAACCAAAATTACACATTTTAAAGTATTTCAAAGATTGAGTAGGATTGATGTGATTTCACAGGCATAGAAACTCACAATTGCCCACCTCACAATGCAGGAAACAGTCAACAATATTAAAAAAATGTAGGCTGTGAAGCCTTGGGTCACTGAGCTGCAGGCCATGAGGGGCTTGCTTTTAGCAATACCTTTTCCATTATTCAGTAACAATAAGGGGTAAAATTATTCAAGAACTTATATGCCAACTTAGAAAACAATGCACTCCTTAACTCAACAAACCTAATGGAACAGAAGCAATTTGTTGAAAAACATCTAACAAAACATTGCCATCAGCATCAACAATGAAGTTTCCTAAACTCTTCTCAAAATCAACAAAATATGACATTCCCTTTGTCAGCTGAAAAAAGGAAAAGAAAAAAGAACTGTCTAAAAAAAATTAATTTAACAATTTTCCAAGTGGGAATGAGGCCTATTGCAGTAAAAAGCTATTGAAACCCTTGCCATTGGGCCCTGACTCCATTATAATTCATTTTTACATTAAACCTGCTGGTAATTCATACTTATTCTACAGTTTGAAAGATCAGTTACATGTACACAGAGTAATATGACTGAACACATTATACTGTTAATGCAAATCAAACAGTCAGCAGCAAGGACTGTCCATACAGTGAGCTCAACATTCCATAAATCTAACAGCGATGTTAAAATTTGACTCAAACTCAGATCCTCAAAGCCTGCCAATGCATAGCATTGTGGCCAGCAAGCATGAGCTAAGTTCCCACAACTGCAGCTACAAAAATATCACCATACAAATCATATAACAAAGCAAACCTGTACGTGAGACAGCTCTGCCATCAACTCCTGCCATAGAACCAGCAGAATCAAATTATTTTACAAACATTGTTAAGGTAATAGCTAATTATTCACAAACCATCCACAAAAAAATGGCTGAGGATAATCAAATATATGAATGTTACAGCCTAATAAAGAAAGACTCCAACTTGGAGGATTCATTGAGGGTTGCAACAACCACACTAGTCAATGTATCACTGGCTAGAATTCCAATGAACTTGATTTAAACTTTTACTATAAATTAATCATAATGTTCCTTCAGTTGGATTATTGGAATAAAAACTATTCACATAGTCTGTTATACTAAATACAATCCCAAACTAACTAAATAAGTTTACTTGTGAGCGTGGTCCTGGAATTGCAGTCTTAATTGCTGGCTTGTCATACTCTTGAGAAGGTGAAGAGAACCTGGCAACCAATTTCTGAGCACCCAAACACTCTAAAACAAAACAATCAACTTGTAGCTTAAATAGTGGATAGACAGTGAACTGTAATTAAAGTTTTAAGCACAGATCCTTTCATGCACTGCTGCAAAGTTTTTGTGCAGTCATTAAATGGAACATGATAAATGTGACAGAAGCATAAATCATCATGGTGAATGAGAATTTGAAATTTCTGTGAGGATGTCACATCCAGACTAAAGATGAGATCAGAGCAAGTGGACTCAATCTATATGTAGTAGCTCTAGAGGTAACACCAGCAAGCAATTATTGTGAAGTAATTGGCCTCACAGACCCAGACAACATAAGTGCTGCAGCAAAAGAAGAGGAAAAGTTTGACAAATTTCAGGACCTAGTGAGAGAGATGGAAAAAAATATAAAGGTCCCCAAGCAAGTTAACATTCCACATGGTTTTGGGGAAATTATAGTCTCAAAGTATTGTCAGGTCCAGCAGGCCACTGGCGACCCTTCTCAGGCCAGTTGTAATTACCTGGCAATCTAACCTTCCAGTGAGAAGGTCCATGGCAGGTTTGGGATCCAACTCAAAAAAAAGTTTGCAGTGTCTCACCATGGCTTTCTCTTAGCAATGGGGCACCAAATAGAGTTAACTAACCATGGCACGTGCTGAACACTAATGATGACAAATTCCCAAGCTCTCGACATACTTAACTTTAAACCGAGGAAAGTGACTGTACTAAAAAAATGCTTCTGTAACACATGGGATCCGTCAAACACGTGATACACCTTTTGGTAATGGAAGATCAGGGTAAATGAGATGTCTATATTGAGTGTCCCACCTCAACCCACCCGTCCCAAAAAAAAATTGCCTTCATATTCTGCGGTTTTTCTGAGATGTTCTGGTTTTCCAAATTTGTGAATGTGTCACCCGCCAAAACCGCTACCACACGACCTGGAACGTTGGGAAACAACAAAGTCTCAGAGAGCCTACTACAGGGTGAAATGGTGAGTCAATTTCGTAATTGACGTCTTTTTAACTCAACAGTACTCGCGAGCAACAGTTACATTCACGTTGATTTCGTGGCATGAACTTTAAGGCCACGGGAACCTATTCGAATGCATAATTTCGACTATGCCTTTTCCCAAGCGCTCCAGCCATTTTAAATCACTGGTCTGATCATTTCCTCAGTAAAGTCGAGACCAATTAAAATTTTTAAAATTATATTTCTACACTAATTGACACAGCGAATAATAAGAGAGGGTTTTCTTACCTGCAACTCCTGTTCGTTTGAACAAACAGTTTAATGTTCCCTGTATATTTGCTCGTGATCCGAAGACAGCCATTTTTAGAGTCTGAAGGGATCTCTTCTCTGGAAATATCCGTTGCGCAACGACGATTAGGAGTGACCTAAGGCTCTCTTTTCAGCTACACAATCATCACTACAGGTCACGCTTTCCTAATATTCCGGCGGTAGCGAGATGATTCCTCGACTGTTGCGTGACATCCCAAAGAACAGCTGGGAAGGGCTACAAATGAGAAACACAATCCCAATGTTTCTACATCCGTCGTCACACATGCGCCGACGGTGAGAAATGCCAGCAGGAATTTACAAGGCTCTCTTTTTTGTCTTTGAGTGACTCAGGGTAAGTATTGTCCTTTATTTTGTGGTTCAATGTAGTGAATTGGAACGTCAACAACAACCATCGATATCTGCTCTGAAGTTGAGAGTCAGCAAGTTTTATCGGAGAGTAGAGCACAGATATATTTTTCAGTTATGATGAATATCTAAAGATGGTCTTTTTGCATGGTTTCTTGAACTCTTTCATTTTCATTTTTTGTCATTATTATCTTCCAATACTCCCTGAAAAACTTTTCTTGCGACAATTTTGTGAAAGACAAAATCCAGGACATTTTATGACAGGCTTTATTGGTTCGAGCTGACTGTACGGGCGAGCTTTGTGACAAGTGAGCGACGCGGAAATACCAGTCGATCTTAATCAGTGATAATAATTAGTCACTGTGATGAGTAATGCTTGTGTAGGTGGATAGAACGCGTCATGTGCACGCGCTGTTGTCTCACATTTCGCTGAGTTAACTGTTGTTTTTCTTTTCATGAAAATGTATAACTGATGAATTGATTCTTTCTCAAACTTTATCATAGTTTCGATTAATTGGTAATAGGACTTCGTGTTGTCCAATTCTGTTTGTAATCATACTCGTGATTAATAAATCTGACTCCCACTTTGCAGTCGTCTGATTTTGTCAATCACCCCTATGATTACAGACCGAATTGGACTCCACTTGGTCTCATTACCATTATTAATTTATAAGTCTTGTCACATTATGGCATGAAAACTTTGTATCATGTTGTGCATGCATTAGCATAGTCATTTACATTATAAGGTTGTGTTTAAAAGAGAAGCAGAACCAATGAGGATGTTCATCATAAAAATTCTAGTAACTGGGGCTACTTACAGTCAAAATTCCTCAAAGTTGTTTAGCATCTGATAATTACTGACTGCAATAAAATCCTATTGTGCTCCCTTTGCATTATATTAGCAATTTCAGTCTAAGAAGGTAATTAGGTCTTCAGTACAGTCCAAGTTTCTAAGGGAAATTGGGGATGGTCTGTTTCGTTGGCTGGGAAATTATCAGGGGTAATTCTAAACGAGCTAAAAAACTCGATATTGCGGTAAGCTAACTGCACTGCTATATTAATAATACTGCACCCTACATGCAGCAATATTTTTAATATTGCAGCTGCAAATGTTTTCGATATTGTTGTTTTATTGCTTCATTTATTACAATTAGACATCATACAGCAGCAGACTTTCTTACTTATGTTAAATGACAATTTTAGTACTATTGGTTCTAATCTCAACTGACAAATAATAGTCCTCTTCATCATTCTTTTCCTCAAGAACTTTTTTGTTTAATCCCATTTCTTTTTCTTCATTGTGTTTAACATGATTCTCAAACAACTCTTCCTCTTTTCCCTCCACATCCTTTTCAACTTTCTTAGGAAATGCTCCTTGCAAGATTTCACTTGCTTTTCATTTAAGTGTTGATGATTTATATTTATATTCTCTTACCCCGTCAAATGACTGGTGACCAGTGGTTTCTACATTAACTTGTTCTGATACACTGCTTTGGTACAACCCCCAGGTGGAACTTTGCATGAGATAGTGGTTTGTGAAATACCCCTCAAATCCTGCCTTTGTCATGATTTTCTCTACTACATTTCCTAACTAATTTTACTACAGTTCTCCTCTCAGTTTGGGTAAAGCACACAAATAAAATGTGTTATCACTAATTTCTTTAGGCATGTGAGACAAATACTACTTATACAGCTTGACTGAGGAACGTTCTGTATTAGTTAAATTTTTACATGCATGAAAAACTTTCCTTTTGACACACAAATGGCACAAACCCCCATTGTTTGTTTTATTAATATCCTCCATGTACTGCAAGAATTCACACTCCAATTCATCATGTTCTAAAGATAACTGAGAGTTTTTGAACCTCACATTTCGGTGTTCCTGCCCAGCCTTCAAAGCAAACTGAATGCCAAAAACCCAAACCAAAGTATAGCAAAGAATCTCCCTGTTCTTACTACCTAAAAAACCATTTTCCCACAAAAAGTTTTCTTGGTCTTCAGTTATAAATTTTGCCTGATTGATAACCACACCTACTCCTTGTGCAGCTTTCTCTTTAATTTGAAAATTCATGCAGAATTTAAACTTCAAAATGTACAACCTTTCTTGTTAATTTATATCGTTAAGTTATATTTTGGTTATATTGCACTTGTAAAAACATTTGAATGCAAATTTGCACTCAAAGGAGGATATCAGTCTTCTAAACCTCTGCTCTCCTAAAGAAAGAAAAACAAAGAAGCCTCTAGTAATTGGGTAAAGTATGGCCTTATAAAAAACAAAATTTCATTACTTTAAGACAGAAGCATTCATAAGTACTTGCATAGTACTCGCATTCATAATTTGTGCAGATAATTTTGCTTCTGCAGCGGATGACATGTTAATTAATGGATCTATGAGGTCAGCCAGAAAATTTCATATATTTTTGTGGCTCAGTTTAAATAGCAATGTCTATTTTTAGTTTTCTTGTCGAATAATACATGTGAATATTAGTATACCGGTAGTTTTCAATAAATTAAGGTTCCAGTTTTAGTCTCTGGTGATACATGATTTCTCCTGATGATGTTGGAGTCTATATGTTCCACAAGTATTGTGGTCTTAAGTTGCATTTTCTTCTCTTTTGAGGTAACTAATTTTGCAGTGGTTGAAGTTTTTAGACATCCAAGATTTTTTCAGATACCAGTAACCCATTTTTTCTTGTCACCTCTTCCCCCCACCTCCACAGACATGCACACCCACCATAATTTTAGCAAATGCTCCCTAGATAGGTGGTGTATATTGTATTGAAAGAAAAAATGTGTTCAAATTTTTAGTAAACATTCCACTCTCAAACCTCTTGTTTTAATCATGATGGTAATTGATGGGATGTTGTGATCAAATTTTTTTTTATTTCTTTAAAATTTGAATTATTAGTTGTGACAGCTTAATTAATGTCTTCTCATTTTCCTTTTTCTCTTCAGGCAGATATGATATGAAAATGCTCTACACATCTTTGACACAGCTTCATTTCCAAGACAACCAGAGAATAAAGCATGATATTTGTAACCTGGAGTTCTCCATCCCTTTTCAATCAATTTTAAAACATCTAGACAAAAAAGCCACAACCTCAGACAAACTAGCTTGTGTCTATATATATGGTGAGCCAGGTTGTGGACGTTCATCAGTCTTGCTGGATATCTGTGAAAAATCTATTCAACGCAAATTGTTAGCATCAAAGGTGTGTGGTTTAAGAGTCAGAAAAGGATGTACTCTAGAGTCCCTCTGGAATTTGCTGAGTGAAATCGCAAAGGAAAGAAAGGACCGAGAGACAGCATCTACACTAACAAACTCAAAAGTCAAGTTGAGCAAAAAATACAAAGTTGCCCAAGCTTTCATTTCAGCAAACTTCCAGTTGATTTGTGTGGATGATGCAAGTGCTGATGGTGGGATTGTTTGGTCTCATCTTTCAAAGCTGTTGAACAAAACTAATATTGGTGTTGCTCTTGTTTCCAGTGAGCAAGAATGCAACTTTCCTTTCAAAGAAGAAATAAAGGATTGGCAATTACTCTCTGTGAAGGTCAAAGGTCTTAATGTGCAGTCATTTACACTGAATGTCAGAGAGTTGTATTCTTCTCTGAAGTTAAATGAAGAAATGATCTCTAAGATACATTGCATATTGAATGGCAATCCTAGAGCAGTCGATATTTTGATTAATGTTTTCAGGGAATATAACCTTCCAGATAAAAGTTTGCATTGTGTTTTTTTGTCCTTGGAAAATGACGGCATGGTGCACGAAATTGGAAAAGATGATCTCAATCCCATTTTATTGGTCCTTCAGTTTGTATTTGAACACCTAACTGCTTTTGAAAAAAGAGTTTACAGCCAGCTCTGCCACCTGCGAGAACCTCTTCCAGTTATTCATCTTTCAAAGGAAGCAGAGAAGCTTATAAGGCTTGGGTTGGTAACTAATCAAGCCAGTAGCCTATGTAGCAGCAAACAAGCGATTAATTTAGCATCCATATCAGTGGCTCAATGCTTTCAGCTGAGTGCAGCACAACTTCTTGATTTCTCAGGTAATTTAGTGTTAACAACCGAGTTGAAAACGTAAATTAGCCACCGTAAAG